TGGCGGGTCCAGGCTGGGGATTCGAACCCGCCACCTTAGGTGTACGTGGCTGGCGCCCTAGCCGGTTGAGCTATAGGCGCCGAGCCAAAGTTCCTCTTTTAATTGTGTTTCAACCCCAGGAAGTGTGCCATATACCATAACATCCCATCCTCCTCCACTCTGCTGCCTAGTCCTCCACCCCCTACCTTGAATTCATTTGAGTTTTTCTCTTATGTGAATGTGTCGTGTATTAGACCGTCTACTGGCTTCATATTAGAATTGAGTACGTTGGATTTTTTTTTTTTTTTTTTTTTGGAGACAGAGCCTCAAGCTGTTGCTCTGGGTAGAGTTCTATGGCTTCACAGCTCACAGCAACCTCCAACTCCTGGGCTCCTGCCTCCGCTTCCCAAGTAGCTGGGACTACAGGTGCCTGCCACAACACCCGGCTATTTTTTGGTTGCAGCCATCATTGTTGCATGGCGGGTGGGTCGAGGCTGGATTCGAACCCACCAGCTCAGGTGTATGTGGCTGGCGACTTAGCCACTTGAGCCACAGGCACTGAGCCTGGATTCTTGCTTCTCCATTCTTCTGATACTTTAAGAAGAAGAATGTGTTCCAAATCTATCCTGATTAATACAAAAGATGTAAAGTCCCCATCTTTTTGATTTATTTATTTATTTTAGCATTTTTGGCCAGGGCTGGGCTTGAACCTGCCAACCCCAGTATATGAGGCCAGCGCCCTACTCCTTTAGCCACAGGAGCTGCCCATTTTTCTTTAATTTTTTTTTTTTTTTTTTGTAGAGACAGAGTCTCACTTTATCCCCCTGGGTAGATAAACACAGGTTTCAATCACACAGCTCACAGCAACCTCCAACTCCTGGGCTTAGGCGATTCTCTCTCTCTCTTTTTTTTTTTCCTGCCAGTTTTTGGCCAGGGCTGGGTTTGAACCTGCCGCCACCTCCGGCATATGGTGCCAGTGCCCTACTCCGTTGAACCACAGGCACCACCCTTAGGCGATTCTCTTGCTTCAGCCTCCCAAGTAGCTGGGACTACAGGCACCCATCACCACGCCCAGCTATTTTTTTGTTGCAGTTTGGCTGGAGCCAGGTTCACATCTGCCACCCTCAGTATATGGGGCCAGCGCCCCACCCACTGAGCCACAGGTGCCACCCCTTTTTTATTATTTTTAAAGTCCCCATCTTTTTTATGGCTGAATATTATTCCATGATATACATATACCACAGCTTGTTCTTGGGTTGCTGGGCATTTAGGTTGTTTCTGGCTTTGGTTGGTTTTGGGCACCCTGTCTCCACTGCCTCTGGTCACAGGCAGGTAGACAACGATGTGTTTCTCTGTGTCTGTTGTCTTATCTCCCTTCCTCACCTCCATCCTAGCCCATGTTTTGCAGTTTTTCTTGGCCAATGAATATCTGAGATGCAAGCAATAGCACAAACCTCCGTACCATTCTCTTCTGGTCTGTGTTTCAGGGGGCAATGGCAGTTTCCTGTGTCCTCCTGCACACTGGGCAAAAGATGCCTCTGATTGGTTTGGGTACCTGGAAGAGTCAGCCTGGCCAGGTGAGGGATGGGGGAGAAGAGGGGTTACTTTTTGAGCCTCTGCTAGGGAAAAAGCAGGATTTGGGGGAAACGCCCTACATTTTTCCTGGCAGCCCTACCCCCTGTATTCCACTTCCAGCTGGGATGAACTTGGAGGGCAGTGAGAAGAGATTAAAGAAAAAGAGACCAAGAGTAATCCCTTGACTTCCCTAGATGGAGGGGTCAAGAGAACTAGGAGAGCCAACGGTAAGGGGAAAGGACACCTTTTTTTTTTTTTTTTGAGACAGAGTCATACCTGGTCCCCTTCAGTAGAGTGCAGTGGCATCATACCTCACAGCAACCTCCAACTCTTGGGCTAAAGCAATTCTCTTACCTCAGCCTCCCAAGTAGCTGGGACTACAGGTGCCTGTTAGAACACCAGCTTTTTTAAAATTTCATTTTATTGGGTTTTTTTGCAGTTTTTTTTGTCCGAGGCAAGGTTTGAACCCACCACCTCCAGTATATGGGGCTGTGCCCTACTCCTTTGACCCACAGATGCCTCCCTTTATTATATTTTTTTTAGAGACAGTCTCACTTTGTCATCCTCGGTACAGTGCTGTGGCGGTCACAGATCATAGCAACCTCTAGCTCTTGGGCTTAGGCAATTCTCTTGCCTTAGCCTCCCGAGTAGCTGGGACTAAAGGCGCCCACCATAATGCCCTGCTATTTATTTTGTTGCAGTGTGGCCGAGGCCAGGTCTGAACCTGCCACCCAGCTCACTTCTGTGCCTTCCTTAGTTTTTTCCCACTCCCAACCCGACGTGGTCATGGCACTCTACCCAGGGCGAGACCTTGAGGCCTGTTGCTCCGTGGGTAGGGTGCTGGCCCAGCCTAATTGCAACAAAATAATAGCCAGGCATTGTGGTGTGACAGGCGCCTGTTGTCCCTCCTACTTGGGAGGAGGCTGAGACAAGAGAATTGTTTAAGCCCAGGAGTTGGAGGTTGCTGTGAGCTGTGATACCATAATTCTCTACCAAGGGCAATAAAGTGAGACTCTTGTCTGTTAAAAAAAGAAAAAAAAAAGTGCAGCGCCTGTGGCTCAAAAGTGTAGGGCACTGGCCCCATATGCTGGAGGTGGTGGGTTCAAACCCAGCCCTGGTCAAAAAAAAAACGGAACAAAAAACTAGATGTTTAATATTTCAGATTCTTTTAGATGTTACAAAATAGTTAACATTGAGTAAGTAACCATTTATAAATGTAAAAGTCAGTCTTAGCTCAACATCTGTTAGAAAGAAGTTGATAGTTTACTGACTCCTGGTATAGACCCTCCCAGGTGAGGGCAGCCTGGGGATGCAGACATGCTTTCTTAGGTTGACTTAGTAACTATGAGATTCAGCTCTTAACTTGGGGTGGGGCATTTCTGCAGGACTTCTTCCTTGGAAATCTGAGACAGAGTAAGGAGAAGGTTGGGGATTAAGTTTGAGAGAAGCCCAGCAGGGAGAACAGCCTCTTCTTAGCTCTATCTATTTGTGGTGAGGTTGGATGATCTCTGCATTTTTTTCCCCTTGTGTTCTTCTAACTGGATCCAGGGTCCTCAAGCTCTGAGTAAGGGCTTGACACAGCTTGGGGACAAGCCCAGGAACTAGGTCAAGTTAGGGAATAGAGGCCAGAGCTAGGGCCAAGGTGGGGCGTGAAGCAGCAGGGTGTAGTGGAGTACATCTGGGTCTGTGCCAGGCACCCACGACAAGATCTTTGGTTGGGTACCCTTGGTTTTGCTTCTGATGCCATATTTCTAGTCTTCTTTTTAGCAAATTAGCTGAGCCTCCTCCAACACAGAGCATATCCTAGGACACAAGTCTAACCTCAGCAAATTTAAAAGTGTAGAAATTATTCCTTGTATCTTCTCGGACCACCATGGAATAAAAGTTGAACTCAACAGCAATGGGAATCTCCATACTCAAACAAAGTCATGGAAGGTAAATAATCTTAGGCTGACTGATAGCTGGGTCAAAGACAAGATTAAGAAGGAAATCACCAAATTTTTGGAACTAAATGAAAATGAAGACACAAATTATCAAAACCTATGGGATACTGCAAAGGCAGTCCTAAGAAGAAAATTTATAGCATTGGAAGCCTTCATCAAGAAAACAGAAAGAGGAGGTCAATAACTTAATGGATCACCTCAGGCAACTGGAAAAGGAAGAACATTCCAACCCCAAACCCAGCAGAAGAAAAGAAATAACCAGAATTAGGGCAGAATTAAATGAAATTGAAAACAAAAGGATCATTCAGAAGATCAACAAAACAAAAAGTTAGCTTTTTTGAAAAAATTAACAAAATTGATAAACTTTTGGCCAACCTAACCAGAAATAGAAAAGTAAAATCTCTGATGTTGTCTATCAGAAATGATAAAGGAGAAATAACAAGAGGCACTTCAGAAATTCAGAAAATCCTCAATGATTATTACAAAAATCTCTATTCCCAGAAATATGAAAATCTGAAGGAAATGGACCAATACCTAGAAGCACGCCACCTTCCTTCAACCAGAAAGAATTAGAAACCTTAAATAGACCTATATCAACCACTGAAATAGCATCATCAATCCGAAATCTCCCTAAAAAGAAAAGTCCAGGACCAGATGGCTTCACATCCGAATTCTAGCAAACATTTGAAGAGGAACTAGTACCTATATTATACAATGTTTTCCAAAGCATAGAAAAAGAAGGAATACTTCCCAACACATTCTATGAAGCAAACATCACCCTGATACCCAAACCAGGAAAGGATCCAACAAAGAAAGAAAATTATAGACCAATATCATTAATGAATATCGAAGGAAAAATATTCAATCAGATCTTAGCCAACAGGATTACAACAACACACCAAAAAGTTATACACCATGATGAAGTTGGTTTTATTCCAGGGTTATAGGGCTGGTTCAACATATGCAAATCTATAAATATGTCACATCAATAAGAAAAAACAAAGACCATAAAAAATAAAAATTAGCTAAGCCATTCTTCTTGATACCTGTTTTCTTCTTTTTCATTAAGGGGCTCTGGGACTAGCCTCCAGTTCACTTCTCTACCTTCCTTAATTTTTCCCCACTCCCACCCCAACGTCTTTTGCTGGCCTGGGCTCCCTGAAGGTCTCTCCTTATATAGCCTTGGCTTAGGATTTTTTTTCCTATATCTTGTTTCTCTCAGCAACTCTTCAGAGCTAGGAACCTTTCACTATGATCTATACTTTTGTTTTCTGCCTGTTTAACCATCTATCATCTGATTCAAAAAACGTTTACTAATGCCTTCCTTATGCTAGATGCTGGGAGTTCATAGTGTTAGTGTTTTGCTGGATCTTGCTGAGATGGCTTGGGTAAGAAGAAACTGTGGAGACTGGTGGGTAGGGGTGGGACAAAGGATTTGGGGACTCTGAAGAGTCTTCTGTTCTGGAGTAGAACCATCTTTCATCTTTCCATCCCTACTGCATGGATGGCCCTGGTGTATTCTTGCCCCATTAGCAGTGACCTTATGGGGGAGACAGTTTCTGGTCCAAACCAACAAAGCTAAAACCTTTGCTTCTCCTTTGACCTGGCAGGTAAAAGCCGCTGTTAAGTATGCCCTTAGTGTAGGCTACCGCCACATTGACTGTGCTGCTATCTACGGCAATGAGACTGAGATTGGGGAGGCCCTGAAGGAGGACGTGGGACCAGGCAAGGTGAGGACTGTGGCTGAAGAGAGGGGTTTGGTGAGATAACTCAAGCTGAAGCTAGGGCTAGGGCTGGGCCTGGGCCTGGGCCTGGCTGGTGGGAATATAGAAGAGGGAGAAGTATCAGCCTTCTTCCCATTCCTCTCCCGGAGTTGAGGGTGGGTAAGATTGGGTGCCCTTGGCTCTTCTCATTATGGGCCTTGCTGCCTGCACTAGGCAGTGCCTCGGGAGGAGCTGTTTGTGACGTCCAAGCTATGGAACACCAAGCACCACCCTGAGGATGTGGAGCCTGCCCTCCGGAAGACACTTGCTGACCTCCAACTGGAGTATCTGGACCTGTACCTGATGCACTGGCCTTATGCCTTTGAGTGAGCCTTGCCAGGGTCTCCATCTGGGGATTAAGGAGGTTGAGCGGGTGGTATATTTTATTTTTTAGACAGAATCTTACTATGTCACCCTCGGTAGAGTGCCTTGGGGTCACAGTTCACAGGAACCTCATACTCTTGGGCTTAAGTGATTCTATTGTCTCAGCCTCCCAAATAGCTGGGACTACAGGCGCCTTCCACAATACCTGGCTATTTTTTGGTTGCAGTTGGCATTGTTGTTTAGCAGGCCCAGGCCTATTCAAACCCGCCAGCCTCCGTGTATGTGGCTGACGCTGTAACCACTGTGCTATAGGTCCTGAGCTGAGAGTGTGTGGTGTTTATAACTTATTGTAAGTTGCAGCAGCAGAGCAGTATAGGAATATGCAGTATGTGGCAACTGGAAGAGCTTGATGTCTGATCTTAACCTTTTCTGTTACAACAGCCAGGAGTTTAGCTCTAGAAGTAGGAAGGCAGCTTCACCTGGTGTGTACGGTAGGGCGTGCTCAATAAAACCACAAAGGGCTGAGTGCAGTGGCTCATGCCTGTAATCTTAGCATTCTGGGAGGCAGAGGCAGGTGGATTGCTTGAGCTCAGGAGTTGAAGACCAACCTGAGCAAGAGTGAGACCCTGCCTCTTCTAAAAATAGAAAAGTAGGTGGGTGCTATGGTAGGTGCCTGCAGTCCCAGCTACTCGGGAGGCTGAAGCAAGAGGAGAGGATCACTTGAGCCCAAAGAGTTTGAGGTTGCTATGAGCTGTGATGGTGCCATAGCACTTTACCCCGGGGGACAGAGTTAGACTCGTCTCAAAAAGAAGAAAATCTAAAAGGATGTAAAAATGTAGCTGTTTCTAATTCTCATTCCTCTGCCCTCTCTGGGCTTAGAGTTTGGGCCATAGACTGGCTGGATGGGCAGGTACAGCAGAAGCCTGGCTTTCGTGCTCACAGTTGGGCTGTCTTTCACTCAGGCGAGGAGATAACCCCTTCCCCAAGAATGCTGATGGGACCATACGCTATGATTCTACCCACTATAAGGAGACCTGGAAGGCTCTGGAGGCACTTGTGGCTAAGGGCCTGGTACGGGCACTGGGCCTGTCCAACTTCAACAGTCGGCAGATTGATGATATACTCAGCGTAGCTTCTGTGCGCCCAGCTGTCTTACAGGTGAGCAAGATACGCAGATCAGCTCTTTGGGGATTGTGTGTATGAATTATGAGTGAGCAGGTGATGGGCCTATTTAATGAAGGTGGTTAGCAAGTTGTCAGAAGTCTTAGGTAAAGGTGTGGTCTGAAGTTCTGGGAGAGAATGAAATTTCTAATGGAAAACTGAGAAAACCAGGTTGAGGGGAGGTGAGGGGTGAGCAACAGAGGGTTGGGCCAGACATGGATGGCTGGTGGGGCCGGGTAATGTGGGTATAGCTAACCATAGTGATGGCTTGTTTCTTCACTTAGGTGGAATGCCACCCATTCTTGGCTCAGAATGAACTCATTGCCGTCTGCCAAGCACGGGGCTTAGAGGTGACCGCTTATAGCCCTTTGGGCTCCTCAGATCGTGCTTGGCGTGATCCTGATGAGCCTGTCCTGCTTGAGGAACCAGTGGTCCTGGCTCTGGCTGAAAAGCATGGCCGATCTCCAGCTCAGATCTTGCTCAGGTGTGGGGCAGCCTTAAGGAAAGGGCTC